CTTTGGAAGGCTGAGGCAGGAGGACTGCTTGAAGCCAGGAGATTGAGATCAGCCTGGGCAATAAAGCAAGACCCTGTCTCTACAAAAAAATTTTAAAAATTAGCCCAGTGTAGTAGCATGCACCTTTATTCCCCGCCACTCAGGAGACTGAGGCAGGCAGATCATTTGAGCCCAGGAGTTTGAGGCTGCAGTGAGTTATGATCACGCCACTGCACTCCAGCCTGGACGACAGAGCAAGACCCTATCTCTAGAAAAAAAAAATGGCTTTGATGGGTTATCGTAAGTGGTAGATCTGTGATGCGAAGTACAGCTCAGTCAAATGATACACTTTTTAGTCTGCTCATTCAGAAATGACAGGAAATTGCAGAAGTCAGGAAGTCTATGGCATTTATAACTTAATATAAAATTTTAACATATTTCACTGCCCATATTCATTCTCTCTGCAAAGAGGAGCCGCTCTTACTGCATGCTGCTGGATGGCTTTAAAAGGTTGTTCTCTTTCTTGTTCTCCTGTAACCTAACACTCATGTGCTGACACCCAAGATCTTTTGCTAGAGAGTGGAAGTCAGCTGTTTAGAACTCAAGCTACACATCAATCTTCAATCTCTGGGCCTTCCCCTAAACAAGCATGTTGTGCAGTAATGGCAAAACCCAGACGTCAGCTCAGCAGACGGAATTACACATGGAACACGAACTCTGAAGAGGCGCTCCAAGAGAACATATCACTGCCACTCATCTACTTTTATTCATTTATTTATTTATTGAGACAGGTTCCTGTTCTGTTGCCCAGGCTGCAGTGATCAGAGCTCACTGAAGCCTTGGCATCTTGGGCTCAAGCAATCCTCCCACCTCAGCCTCCTGAGTAGCTGGGACTAGAGGCATGCACCACCATGCCTGGCTAATTTTTTTTATTTTATATTTTGTAGAGATGAGAGTCTCGCTATGTTGCCCTGGCTGGTTTTCAATTTCTAGGCTCAAGAGATCCATGGACCTCGGCCTCTTGAGCAGCTGGGACTACAGGCGTGAGCCACTGTGCTGGCCTCATTCCACTTTCAGGTATCAATATTTCAGAAATTGCACTTGAAGATCTACACAATGGACTCACAAACAGGTTGTGGGCAGAGTTCCTGAGTGCACCAGGCCTAATTAGCCAAAATGGCAGAGTGGATCAGGCTCTGAAGCCAGACGGCTAGGTTCCAATCCTGATCCCTGACAGGCTGTGCAGTCTTTAAACTCTGTGTGCCACATGTTCTTCACCTGTTGAACGAGGACCTTTCTCATTATGATGTGAGGACAAAATGAGATAACACAGAAGAAAAGCTTAGAACAATCAGCCCTGGCAAAAACTAGGTGTTCAAATGTTAGCCATTATTATTATTATCAAATAACCTACGGGGAAAAGAAAAGAAAAACATACTGCATTTATTCTCTATACTACATTTTTATGTAGCTATATGAAGTTACTCTGATTTGCTTTCCTAATATAAGATTATGTCTTTTAAAAACATTCGCCAGCACGGTGGCTCACACCTGTAATCCTAGCACTTTGGGAGGCCGAGATGGGTGGATCACCTGAGGTCAGGAGTTCAAGATCAACCTGGCCAACATGGTGAAACCCCATCTCTATTAAAAAAAATACAAAAATTAGCCAGGTGTGGTGGCAGTCGCCTGTAATCCCAGCTACTCAGGAGGCTGAGGCAGGAAAATCACTTGAGCCTGGGAGACTGTGGTTGCAGTGAGCCAAGATCATGCCACCGCACTCCAGCTTGGGCAACAGAGTGAGACTCTGTCTCAAAAAAAAAAAAAAATTCATTTGCTCTGTGCAACATTAAGCATACTTAATGATTACTACACAAAAGCAACAACAGAAACTCCAATGTTGATGTCCCTTTTTTTTTTTAAAGTGGCATTTACTGATTGATTGATTGATTAAGATGGGGGTCTTGCTATGTTGCTCCAACTGGACTCGAATTCTCCTGGGCTCAGGTGATCCTCCCATCTCAGCCTCAGCCTCCTGAGTAGCTGGGACCACAGGCACATGCCACTGTGCCCAACTTGATCTTCTTTGGGAAAAAGCCTCAACTTTAAGGTCAGGGCTGCTACCCAGCATTTCAGGAAGAGCTCAGACATTCATAGGTCGGCACAGGCAAACTTGGGAAAAGTTTGCCAGACAACATAAATTGCAAGTTGAACCTAAAGCAGAATTTACTTCAAGCTTGTCCAACCTGCGGCCCAAGGGTAGACGGCTTTTAATGTGGCCCAACAGAAACTCGTAAACTTTCTTAAAACATAGTAAGATATTTTTGCGGCTGGGCGCGGTGGCTCAAGCCTGTAATCCCAGCACTTTGGGAGGCCGAGACGGGCGGATCACGAGGTCAGGAGATTGAGACCATCCTGGCTAACATGGTGAAACCCCGTCTCTACTAAAAAAATACAAAAAATCTAGCCGGGTGAGGTGGCAGGCGCCTGTAGTCCCAGCTACTCAGGAGGCTGAGGCAGGAGAATGGCGTAAACCCGGGAGGCGGAGCTTGCAGTGAGCCGAGATCCGGCCACTGCACTCCAGCCTGGGCGACAGAGCGAGACTCCATCTCAAAAAAAAAAAAAGATTTTTTTGCAATTTTTTTTTTAAGCTCATCAGCCATTGTTACTGCTAGTGTATTTCGTGTGTGGCCCAATGTGACAATTCCTCTTCTTCCAATGTGGCCCAGGGAACCCAAAAGATTGGACATCCCTGATTTACTTATTTTTATATCATCTTTATGGACTGAAAAGGCCAAAACTTTTTTAAATATATAAACTATCTTTACATCAGATGAAAGGAAAAAGAAACAGACGCAAACATCAAGTTCATGTTATTAATAGAAGAAAGGGCATTTTCGGTTTTTTTTTTGTTTTTTTGAGATGGAGTCTCACTCTGTTGCCCAGGCTGGAGTAGAAAGGAGTGATTTCGGCTCACTGCAAGCTCCTCCTCCTGGGTTCAAGCGATTCTCCCGCCTCAGCCTCCCGAGTAGCTGGGACTACAGGCGCACACCACCACGCTCAGCTAATTTTTGTATTTTTAGTAGAGATGGGGTTTCACCATGTTAGCCAGGATGGTCTCAATCTCTTGACCTTATTTTTTTAAACAGAGTCTCACTCTGTCCCCTAGGCTGGAGTGCAGTGGGGCAACCTCAGCTCACTGCAACCTGCACCTCCCGGGTTCAAGCGATTCTCCTGCTTCAGTCTCTGGAGCAGCTGGGATTATAGGGGTGTGCCACCACCCCGGGCTAATTTTTGTGTTTTTAGTAGAGATGGGGTTTCGCCATGTTGGCCAGGCTGGTCTCAAACTCCCAACCTCAGGTGATCTGTCCGCCTCGGCCTCCCAAAGTGCTGGGATTACAGGCATGAGCCACTGCGCCCGGCCCACCTTTCCCATCGGGCCAGACTTGTTTCCGTATTTGTTCCAGGGAAGAACAAACCATGCTCATTTCAGCTCTGTATCCACAACACCTATCACAGTACCTGACACACAGTAGTTGCTTGGTAAATGTTTGTCAATTCAACAACTTGAATGCTCTTAGGCCTGGGCTGTGCTGTACCCCTGGAAAGGCCTCATCCAACCCACCATTTTTCAAAGGCCAGTTCAACTCCCTGCACCTCTTCCCAGCATAACACTGAAGCAACCTGCCCTTGCCATTGTCTTCTTCCACTCTCAATTCCCACCAAATTCAATCACTTCTGATCTTTATTGTTATTTAAACATTTTCTGTTTCCGTGTTTTGTCTGCTCCACCAAACTGGGAGTTTCTTGGGGAAGGCAGAATATTTGAAGGCAGTGAGGAGCACTGGAAAGATTATTGATGTGTGACCAGGCAAACCTAGTTATATGACTTTGAGAAAAATGTATATAAAACCCTTAGAACAGTGCTTAGAACACAGTGTGCACTTCCTAGCTTCTATCATTATTCATCTCTCCGAACACCTCAGTTCTCTTGCTTATAAAATGAAGTGATAGCCAGGTGCAGTGGCTCCCACCTGTAATCCCAGCACTTTGGGAGGCTGAGGTGGGTGGATCACGAGGCCAGGAGATCAAGACTATCCTGGCTAAAAAATGGTGAAACTCATCTCTACTAAAAATACAAAAAATTAGCCGAGCATGGTGGTGGGCGCCTGTAGTCCCAGCTACTCGGGAGGCTGAGGCAGAAGAATGGCGTGAACCTGGGAGAAAGAGCTTGCAGTGAGCCAAGATCGCGCCACCGCACTCCAGCCTGGGCAAGAGTTCGAGATTCTGTCTCCAAAAAAAAAAAAATGGAGTGATAAGTCCTATGTCAAGTGGTCTTCATATGGAACAGGGGTCTCTAGGACCTTCCTAGCACACAGTAGCCACTCAATAGCCATCTGGCAGCTATTATTACAAGGCCTCCTGCTGGATGCAGAGAAGGTGCTCAATAGAAGTTTATGAGATGAACTGAAGGAACAACTGAGAGAAATGTATTATCTTAGCAACTCACATATCAAAAGAAAAACTTTCAGTCATTCATTCAACAATCATTTATTAAGGGCTTAACATTACGTGCCAGGCTTTGTTCTAGGTTTGGGATACTACAGTAAAAACAGTTCTTGCCTTATGAAACTTACATTCTAAAGGGGGAGGCAGACAATAAGCAGAGAAAGAGACAAATCAATAAAAGGTTGGTGTTAAGTGCTGTGAAGAAAAAAAAAAGGTAAGCCCTTGGAAAAGGGCTGCCTGAAGAGGTGGCATTTAGGGAGAGATCTGGATCCTCAAGAAAGTTTAATTTGTGAGACTCATCCTCTCCCTCACAAGACACCAGGAGCTCTTCCAGTCCTCTAGCAACAAGAGACCCCATACAACCAAGGAGGCTGCAGTTTGCCTTTAGTGCGTCTCTCTCAACTCAGACCAAGCTACAAACTGCTGAACAAGCAACTGCAAACGTATTTTTGTTACACTTTTTGAACTGGGCACTTAAGCTCCAAGTGGGAGTAAACTGATTACAGCCATACCGCAACTGGTCTGTTCCCCAGAAAGTTCAGATCGCTGTTCTCTCCAAACAGGTAACCTTCAGGATGAGCTGAGTCAAACTTCTCTCCTCCCATAATGAAGTGGCTGGCAAAATAGCTTCCTAGAGAAGAACAAACAGAAAAAAATCAAACAAGCAGAAAACAGTCAACCTAAATCTAGTTTAAAAAAACAAGAAAAAGCTGATTTTTAAAAATGTTAACCTTTTGGGATGTGCGTGGTGGCTCACACCTGTAATCCCAGCACTTTGAGAGGCTGAGGCAGGCAGATCACCTGAGATCAGGAGTTCAAGACCAGCCTGGCCAACATGGCAAAACCCTGTCTCTGCTAAAAATGTAAAAATTAGCCGGGTGTGGTGGCACATGCCTGTAGTCCCAGCTACTCAGGAAGCTGAGGCAGGAAGATGGCTTGAACCCGGGAGACAGAGATGCAGTGAGTCGAGATCCTACCACTGCTCTCCAGTCTGGACAACAGAGCAAGACTCCGTTTCAAACAAACAAAAACAAAAAAGTTAACCCTCTGAATGAATAATTAGAGCAATTTCTAATCCCAAGAGTGTTTTCTTTTTCTGATTTGGGACAATGGCACAAAATAAGCAAAATCATAGCAGGGAAAACCCAAGATACCAAACATAGAATAGATCACTGTTTTCCTTTTAACATTCTTAATTAAATTCTTCTAATGATCTGTTTAAAATACCTCCAGCCAAAAGACCAAAAGGTCCTACAATGCACAATAATGATCATATATATATATTTTGGTTCCTGACTTTTGCCTTTATAGTTATTCCATGTATTGAAGAATCTCAGCTACAGGTATCATCATATACATACACTGTGATACTGTAAAATATATGTTTGATCTTCAACCCTATTTCCTGGAACAGGAACACAACTCTTAAAATCTTTGGAATATCCAGGCGGGCGCGGTGGCTCATGCCTGTAATCCCAGCACTTTGGGAGGTCGAGGGGGGCGGATCACTTGAGGTCAGGAGTTAGAGACCAGTCTGGCCAACACGGTGAAACTCTGTCTCTACTAAAAATACAAAAATTAGGCCGGGCGCGGTGGCTCAAGCCTGTAATCCCAGCACTTTGGGAGGCTGAGACGGGTGGATCACAATGTCAGGAGATTGAGACCATCCCGGCTAACACGGTGAAACCCCGTCTCTACTAAAAAAAAAATAGGCCGAGTGCGGTGGCTCAAGCCTGTAATCCCAGCACTTTGGGAGGCCAAGACGGGCGGATCACGAGGTCAGGAGATCGAGACCATCCTGGCTAACACGGTGAAACCCCGTCTCTACTAAAAAATACAAAAAAGTAGCCGGGTGAGGTGGCGGGCGCCTGTAGTCCCAGCTACTCGGGAGGCTGAGGCAGGAGAATGGCGTAAACCTGGGAGGCGGAGCTTGCAGTGAGCTGAGATCCGGCCACTGCACCCCAGCCTGGGCGGCAGAGCAAGACTCCGTCTCAAAAAAAAAAAAAAAAAAAAATACAAAACTCTAGCCGGGCGAGGTGGCGGGTGCCTGTAGTTCCAGCTACTAGGGAGGCTGAGGTGGGAGAATGGCATAAACCTGGGAGGCGGAGCTTGCAGTGAGCTGAGATCCAGCCACTGCACTCTAGCCCAGGCGACAGAGGGAGACTCTGTCTCAAAAAAAAAAAAAAAATTAGCCAGGTGTGGTGGCGCGCACCTGCAGTCCCAGGTACTCAGGAGGCTGAGGCAGGGGAATCACTTGAACCCGGAAGGCGGAGGCTGCAGTGAATCGAGATCACGCCACTACACTCCAGCCTAGGTGACAGAGCGAGACTCCATCTCGGGGGGAAAAAAAAAAATCCTTGGAGTATCCAAAGTAATGTCTTTTTTTGTCTTTACATATGCTAATGAATTAACCAGTGCCTGGCAGCCCTTAGGTAGCCTCAGGATGGGTGCTTGTCACTGGAAAGAAAAGGCAGGATTAGAGGGTTGGGACTTTCAGCCTATCCCCTAACCACTGAAGAAGGGAGAGGAGCTGAAAGTTAAGCTGATCATCAATGTCCAATGATGTAATCAACCATGCTATATACTGAAGCTTCCATAAATATCCAAAGGAGTGGGTTTGAAGAGCTTCCAAACAGGGGAATACTTGGCGGTTTCTGGAGGGTAACGTGCCCAGAGACGGCATAGAAGCTCTGTGCCCCTTCCCACATAACCTCACCCTATGTCTCTCTCTCTGTATCCTTTGTAATATCCTTGATAATAAACTCGTAAATGTGCTTCCCTAGTTCTGTGAGTCTCTCTAGCAAGTTAATCAAACCCAAGGAGGGGGTTATGGGAATCCTGCTTTCTGGTTGGTTAGTCGGGAGCACAGGTAAAACAACCTGGGGCTTGCAATGGGCATCAGAAGTTGGGGGCAGTCTTGTGAGATTGCACCTTCAACCTGTGGGATTGGACACTATCTTCAAGTAGTATCAGAATTGAAATGAATTGGAGGACACCCAGCTGGTGTCCTCTGCAGAACTGAGTGGTTGCTGGCGGAGAGAATCCCCACACATTTCGCTGACCAGAGGTCACAGAAGTTTTCTGTGCTGCTTGTGTTGTGAGTGTATAGGAGAAACTGAGTTTTTTCCTATATCCACAGACACATACATTTCTTTGCCTAGATTTTCATAAGCCAGCTTATACTTACACACAGAGGTCTCAGTTCCCACCTACCACTACTGCTATACCTCCATAATCTTCTATGATGAACGTTCTTCACACTTTAACTTGCTGCAAAACATGATTGTTTCATAGGAAAATATGAATTTAAATAATACAACTATCCCTGGCTTTCCCTACCAATGACTACATAGACTATGGTGTAAAATAAGGGGACAATTTAATGCTATGAAAGAAGGCTACACACATACCCTCTCCACCTCAAATTCATTAACAGTGCTAATTGCCAGAACTGCTGGGACATCAGTCCTGGCAGGGCCCCTCTGCCCCTTCTTAATCAGCCATGAGGCAGAAATATTTTCAGTACCATATAATAACCAAATGAAATCAGCAGTCAGGGGCCAAAATTCCCATCAGCCTCATTCAGACAAACCAAGGAACTGACAGGATACGATGGAAGTGAGAAGTCACCAAAGCAGGCTTAGGTTATGCTGAAAATTCCATCTGGGAATCCATTTGAAGTCTGATGATTAAATGAATGCCTCTCAGCCCTGATTTCTATTATCTAATTCTCCCATGAAGGTAAGCTGTCCAAAGTAAAGGACGTAGCCCACTATATACCTTTATCAATACTCTCATATACCCCATTTCTGAAATTAATACCAGGAACTTATTAAGTGGCAAAAGGCTTGGCCAGGCGCGGTGGCTCACGCCTATAATCCCAGCACTTTGGGAGGCGGAGGTGGGCAGATCATGAGATCAGGAGATCGCGACCATCCTGGCTAACACGGTGAAACCCTGTCTCTACTAAAAAAAAAAAAAAGGAAATACAAAAAATTAGCTGGGCGTGGTGGCAGGCCCCTGTAGAGGCTGAGGCAGGAGAATGGCGTGAACCCGGGAGGCGGGGCTTGCAGTGAGCCGAGATCCTGCCATTGCACTCCAGCCTGGGGGACAGAGCAAGACTCCGTCTCAAAAAAAAAAAAAAAAAAAAAAAAAAAAAAAGGCTTGCTTGTGTATAATACAGTGAGGATATACACAAACTCCCTAAATCAGTTGCAATTTTTGTTAAAGATATGTAGCAGGCAGGGTGTGATGGGTCTTGCCTGTAATCCTAAAACTCTGGATGGCTAAGGCAGGAGGATTGCTTTAGGCCAGGAGCTCAAGACCAGCTCGGGCAACTTAGCAAATTTAGCAAGATCTTGTCTCTACTGAAAACAAACAACAAAAAAAATTTAAAATACAAAAATTAGTTGGGCATGGTAGCACATGCCTGTAGTTCTAGCTACTCAGAAGGCTGAGGCAGAAGGGTCGCTTGAGTTCAGGAGTTCAAGGTTGCAGCGAGCTATGATTGCCACTGCATTCCAGCCTGGGTGACAGAGTGAGACCCTAAGGAAAAAAAAAAAAGAAAAGAAAAGAAAAAAGGAAAAAAAGATTTATAGCAAACTGAAAAAAAAAAAGGAGATTCAGCACTTTGAGCCTGTGGAGAAGCCATTGGAAGGAAGACAGAGAAGAAAATTCTAGCAAAAACTGAACCAAACATTGATTTTTTAAAACTTTCTACACAAGAAGCTTTAATCTAGAAACATCTATTAAACAAAACAATATGGATAAAATCACTCACCACAAAGTGAGGCAACTATTGAATTAAACAAGCAGAAAAACATGCTTTGAGAGTAATAATGCAGCCCAAATCAAAGCAATCACTGAGGAACTCCTGAAAGTCACCCATCAAAACTTAAAAAGACAAAGGGCAGCCATCTGCAGTGATACAGCAGTGGAATTCATCATTTAGGAAAGCTTAGTTATTAATTATTTATGTCTAGCACTTGCTAGCCCTATTTTCCGAATGCATAATTTATGGAAGGGGAGGTACCTAGTTGCCTTAAGTAGAAGCAGCAATCCCAAATAATTTAAGTCATTTACTGATGAACTTTAGTAGGTATATTTTCTATGCATCAGGAATTATACATTTATCATATATTAGGTAAAATTGGAAAAGTTAAAGATGTTACATGGATGGATGGCTTGCCCAAATCATGAATAAAGGGGAGAAGAGAGTTTGATGTCTGGAGTTGTCTACGTTGACCTCAGTGTGGGACCACTGAATTTCCAATACTTGTGAGAGCTCAGGGGAGGGATCTGGGGCAGTAAAAATCCACGGATGATTGGCTTAGAGGTGGTCGTGATTGAACCCAGTGAGAGAGGACCACTAATGATTTGGGGGCTAAATTTTAGAGTTAAAGCAGGCAACAGGGTTCGATTAGAAATGACCTTGTATGCCATAATATTAAAAGAAAAGAAATGACCACAAAAGATGTGTAGAGCTAATTGTAGTTTTGCCTTGCGTTAAAATCAAGAATAGTCTGGGTGTGGTGGCTCACACCTGTAATCCCAGCACTTTGGGAGGCCAAGGTGGGAGGATCACTTGAGCCCAGGAGCTCAAGACCAGCCTAGGCAACATGGTGAGGCTCT